ATGTGATGGGGGTGGGGTGGGGTATGGGTGTTTTGAATGGGGATTACTGGACTGTATCCAATTTATTATTGTAAAGAATCTTCAGGTGCTTGATAAGTTATACTGTACTATTTATAAGCTTTGTATGGCTGGACAAGTAACTACTAGTCTACTAGTCCACATTTTTTTCCAAGTATATGGGCAATAACATTAGGGTTCATATATGTGCCACTCATAGATTGCAATCCTTCCATTGCTCTTACTTGATGCTGCAGATGTTTTCGAGATTCTCAACAAAAGTAACAATTATTTAATGGTTGTTCCTCGGAAGAGTGAGATTCGAACGGCGGCAGTGAGATAAGAGTGAACTAATTTGCTCTCTCAAGTTATCCGTAACCCGTTGACCGGATGTTTTGCGATTTGGGTCATCACTGGGCATTTGGTTATCTCGTGACTCGTGACTACATCGTGTCTCGCTCTATTTTGCTCTCACCTACAACTACAGACTTACATTTTGTGCGTGTTTGTGCATTATGATAAATGTTGCCACATTTGAGCATATATATATAGAGGATTGGATATAGCTGTATAACATGTATTGTGAGCTAACATTACTTTCATACAAGATTACAAGTATATACTGTCCCGCAGTTAAAAATTTATGCTAGTTTTTAAATAATTTAGTCTTTTGAACCTCTGTTGAGATATGTCAACAGATCTACCTTACTAATGTGAAAAGAAAAATTAGAAAATGAGTGAGTTGATAATATATATATTCTCATTTGATCCTTACCCTATATATATATATATATATATATACACACACACACACACACACACACACACACACACACACACACATATATATATATATATATATATATATATATATATATATATATATATATATATATATATATATATATATATATATATATATATATATATATATATATATAGGGTAAGGATCAAATGAGAATAACATCTTAGGAGAGAAATGAGAATGATTTTGCAGCGTTGGATTTGAGCATTGTGCATCATGTAAAACAGAAACGTGCATATAAAAAAATAGAAAATGTGCATTTCGTTTGTGCATTATTTTAAACGTAAATGTGCAGATTAGAATTTTGCATTACTTTAACTATAAATGTGCAGTTTTGTGAAAGATAAAGTGCGTCGTTTTGGAGCGTTCTCATTTCTCACGTTAAGGAGTATTCTCATCGGAATCGCACCCTATATATATATATATATATATATATATATATATATATATATATATATATATATATATATATATATATATATATATATATACATATACATACATATATATATATATATAGAGAGAGAGAGAGAGAGAGAGTCATTCTCCCGTCGATCAAGTTTTGGTCCGAACACCGCCGTTCGGGATGGTTTTCGGTGAAATTTTTCGATGAAATTTTTATGGTATGTTCTTCATCAAGTCTAGTTTATTCACAAAAAAATTCAGCTCAAAATTCGATCGGGAAGGCCGTCAAATAATTTTTGTAAGTTAACTGCGCAAAATTATACATAGAAAAACGCATTCAACTTCCAAAACTTATTTCCTTATTTGGTAAAAAAATCTTTACCAAAACAGTGTCAAACAGTGTTCAAACATATATGGTCTGTTGTTTGCATTTGTTTTGAGATCATAAGAGATTTCTTCATTGTCCTCATATTGGTCATAATTATGATCGACATGGATGATGAGAAATTGAGAATCATTTGGCGTTAATGATGCGGCTTCTCTAGATTGTATGGTGAAAGCTGCCCCACACAACGTAATTAACATGAACTCTATTAGATCGTGAGAGAGATGAGAGGGAAACGATGTGGAAATTATATAACAAGCCAAACCAAGGTGGCCGGCAGGGCGGAGGTCGAGGGGTGGCCTACCAGACCCTGACTTAGCCCAAATTTTAAAATTGCTTATATTTTTAATGTAAAAATTTATGTGTAAAACTTTATTTGTAAAAATTCTTTGTACCGGCCCAATCGAACTCTTACTCCTGGCTACGCCCGAGGATTGGCCGGTGAATATGTCCATTGATGAACTAATCCAAAGTCAGCTGCATTGGGAGACTTCTTCTCAATCTACGGTTTGGTGATTTTTTATTCATTCATTGAAATTCTTTTTGAAGATAAGCGTAATTGTTTGTGAACAATTAATTGTGATTGCACTTAAAATTGTTGTAATGTGCTGGTTTTAGATTCAAGGGTTTGTTGTAATGGCTGGTTGGCAAGATGAGAGAATTGGCAGCTTATTTTTTCAAATATCAAACCTCTAAGATTTATTAAGGAAATATCAAGATATCATTCACAAAAGTCTTTGTGAATTAGACCATATATGCAAAAAAACACTTGCTAACATTCCCTCACATTTCTCTCATTATGATCAGCAAAGCCTACCATTATGAAACACTTCATTTGATGACAGAAACTACTTTAAATTCCAATCCCAAACACTTCATTTGATGACAGCTTATTGTGGGAACAACTTTCAATAATAACATACTACTAATAATAGCAAGAACTATGCTTTTATATGTATGTTAACATACAATTAAAACAACAATAGTAATAATAATACATAAATAACAATGATAACAACAATAAAATAATATTGATAATAATCATAACAGTATTGATGATGATGATCATAATGATAATAACGACAACCAGAACAACAATAATAATATAAGTAATAAATGGTGTCTGAACTTTTCTTATATGTTGTGAATGTTTCTGGTACGATTTGAATTTTTCTGATCTAATCTGAATGGACTCTTTCTGATTTGATCTAATTGGAAACTTTGGCATCTCATTTTTGTCAATTTTTTTGATCCGATATGTGAATAAAATAAAAATAATTAATAATCAATAAGAATACGAAACAAAACAAATCCTTAATAATACCAAGATTAGTCCGACGAAGTCGGGATCACACGGTGCTAACAAAAAAAAGTGAAAAAGGAAGTGCAAATTTGGTTAGATAAGGTCAGGTTTAGATGTTCGTGTTTACATCTCAAGGGTTTGAGTTGGTTCTCGGGAACCTGAGATTAATTCGGCGAAATCGGGATCACCCGACTCTAACAAAAAATGAAATAGAGAGCACTAGTACCATTAGCAACATGTCTTCCATTGGTAACAAACAAGAGATTTCCTAATTTAAAAAGAATTATTGGGCAACATGTCAACTAACAAATCTCAACCCGTTCTAATGCACATGTGGTGTTTTTTTTCTCGAAAATGCTAGAAGTACCTTGTTTTGTATACTACACTCGCACACATTGTCTATCTATGCAGTTAGAATTGTCTGTATACAGACAACTTTGTTCAGAACTACAAAGTTGTATGTATACAAACAACTGTGTCTACGCAGACAGACAATGTGTGCGAATGAGGTACACAAAATGGGGTACACCTAGCATTTCTCTTTTTTTAAGCAAGATGTGGTGTTTCTTATGATATGGTATATGTTGGGAAAAAACAAGTCAATTGTTTTTTTTTTGAAATATAGTCATTAGATTGAATTAGCAAGTCTCTGGACTTGTTTAGTGGAGCAGGAGAAGTCACATCACTAAACCAATTGTACCTCAATTAGATCAATAAACTTATTTCACACAAATTTTCTCTTCATGCCTTTTCCTCTTTACTCCCTATCCGTTGACACCTCCATGCCTACAAAAAAGAAAAAGGATATTAGTTAATTTTTACTATTGTATAAATTTATTAATTTTTAATTAATACTTTACTAATATTTTTTTTTCATGCACCGTTAAACCAAATCGTGTTTATCGGACTCCAGCACTCGATAAAATTGGTTCTGTTTAATAGAATACAAGCTCACCATATTGATGACTTGTTCTTTGTTGTCAAACTGTTGACCAACCTCAAACTCACCTTCGGGTGTAAAACTTTTTATACCTGATCCACTCATCCACACATCTGTAAAGCCTTCAGGGAGATCGTATATAATTTCTGGAATTCTAATTTTATTAGAGGAAGAATCCGAAGATAATCAGGGTTACGCGGTATAATAAATTAGTTGTCGAGTTAAGTTCAACTGCAAATAAAATCATTTTCCCGCTTATGTATGTTTATATGTGTTAAATGCTTTATGTGAAATTATTTGATTACATGAATAATCTGAGTTATGATTTAATGAAATCTCATATTAAATGATTTTATGAAATAATATGATTATCTGATTTGTAAATGGGTTTCTCCTATTTATGGAAAATATATGAGTATTTTCCATGAATGGATTTCTAACATTATAAAAATATGGGGATTGGGATCAAATATGAGTTTTGGGCTATATTAGACCCAATAAATATTATTCTGTGAATTAGTTATGAAAATCCATTTTGAAAAAAAAATTATTTACTCTATATGTTTTATGAGAATATTGACTTGGACCCTTGAAATAACACAAGGTGTCATGATCTAGTTTTGCCATTATCCTTGTTTTTGTTATTCCAGATATGCGGCAATTTATTAAAAATTAGATATTTTTACAGAATTTAAAATATATATGTATTTAATATACAATGTGGCTCAGTCTAGGGGTGGACATATCAGTTTGGTTTAACCACACTGAATCGTACCAACCCGAATCAATACCGAATTATATGCAATTTGATTTAAGTTTTGTAATATTCCTTCCTAGCCGTATTAATTCAAACCGAACCGAAATCACTAAAACCCGAAGAAAACTGAACTAAACTTAAGAAATTCAATTAAGCCTCCATATGCTATTAAAAATAATAAATTCAAATTGAAATAAGCCGAACCAAACCAAACCAAGAAAAAATAGGAAGTTCTACCTCTGTTCCGGTAGACTTTGCCAAGTGCAAAGTAGGTGAGAAATAAGAATAGTAAAAACCGTGTAGTTGAGAGTAGAGAAAAATGTGCAGAACCACAAATTAGTCGATAGAAATCGATAAAGTTTTTTCGGATAAATAACCTAAAATTATTACACATCAAGTACTCCGTATCTTTTAAGGATAATAATTTTCCTAATCTGTTGCAAACTGAATGGAACAGAATCCTATAAAAACCCAACTCAAAACCTTTATCCGCTGCTGGCCTGCTGCACTTCAAGCCGGCCATCCCAATTTAACCTTCAGCAGCACATATTGAAGAAGAAGAAGAAGGGGTTTAGGAATTAGGGTGATTTGAGATCCTGCCCGGTCCGACTGAACTAATCGACCAACAGGGCAAAAGGGAATAACTCAGGTCTCAAGGTCAATCTTTCATCTTTTTTCGCCTAGCTTCTAAATTTCTACCACTTTATTTTTAATTTGCTGAATCGTTTTAATTTAGGGGAAAATAATTAAAATAATCCAAATAATTTTTATGATTAAGTTGTGATGTGAATTGTGATTTTCTGCGTTAGAAACTTGAGAAGTGGGTCAGTGGAGGATGATTGAATTTAACTATTAATCATTATTCAGATATGAAATATGTTGAGACTTTTATGATTATACTCCATTCATGTTTTTAGCTTGTAGACTTGTAAAGCCATTTATCATCTCGTGTATATTATGAGACTTGAAAGTCAGAGAGCTTTTGGCCGAAATTGAAATGGATATCCAGAATTGAACCTTTTTTTACTTAATTTGTTCTCCCTTTTTAGATATTTAAATTTTAAACAGGTTACATTGTATAATATGCTGACAAGAAGTAAAGAATCTATTATTGAGCACATTATACTACAAAAAATTACAATGTATGGGGCTTTTTTATGAAGTTAGAGTTTGGGTAGGCCCTTTTTATGAAGGGCACTACATTTGATTTAACGGTTTCCTCTTGATACATCACTTGATGCAGAGATATGGCTTCAAGTCCGAATTCAGATTCTGATGAACTTTCTGCCAATGCTTCTTCCCTTCCGTAAGCCTCATCTTTCTTGATTTTTCTCATTTTGTTGTGTTTCTAACGTTGTGCATTTTTTCTAAGTTTCAGACCAAAAAGCGTATACAAAGACCCAGATGATGGCCGCCAACGGTTCTTGCTTGAATTGGAATTCATTCAATGTCTTGCCAATCCCACCTACATTCACTGTATGTTTACTTCTCTCTGTCTGCCACACACGTACATATCTATTGCAGCGAGTTTGGGAGTGGTAGATATTAGGGTATTCAGATTTTGGATTGCTCGGTTGTGTGTTATGGGCACCTGATTTTTGGGTAGAAATTCTAAGATTTCTTTGTGGCATAGGAAGACTGGGAACTGGTTCTTACATAGCTTTTATACTATTTTATAAGTGAAAGTATACACTTTGTCTAAATTCAGAGGGTCAAGTTTCTGGTCCTTTGTAGTTAGGAAGAAAATAACTTCCTCCACAACAAAATCAGTTCTATGTGAATCTTTTCCTCTTTGTGTTTATGTTGAATTGATTATGCAGATTTGGCTCAGAATAGATATTTTGAAGATGAAGCATTTATTGGATACTTGAAATACCTCCAGTACTGGCAACGTCCCGAGTACATAAAGTTTATAATGTGAGCTTTAACACTTTAAGCTGCTATGGTTTTAGTTCAGAGAATTCTCCAATTGCGCTAATACATATGTTTGGCTTTATTTTGTTTAGATTCTTATCATTTTCTGTGAAGATATTTTAGTGGACCTATCATATAGTCCACATCAGTACTAAATGTGACCTTTTCAAACTTAAATTGGTTCTTGTCAGGTACCCACATTGTCTCTTTTTTCTCGAGATGCTCCAAAATCCCACATTTCGCAGCGCTATGGCACATCCAGCCAACAAGGTAGGTTTTTTGTGGTTACAATATTTTTCTATCAGAGCATGTGAGGTCTAAAGCCCATTGCTCTATTATTTATGGTGTATTCTGAGAAGTGAGAAGTGAGAACCAATGGAAACATGAGTTGCTCCAAATCATGCCAACGATATTATTACTTGATTGTGTCTCCATTAATAGGCATTGAACACGAAAATTTCTTTTGATTTAATTAAAACGTGCAGTTAAAGTTGTTATAGCAGGATTGTTAGTAGAGTTTATTCCAACTTATTCTCCCTGCTCTACTGCTCTTTCATTTTATCTCTAGACTTTGAACAAGACCACTACCATGCCCATAGCATAAAGTTTGATGCACTTACCTTGTATATATTTACTTGCATATACTTCAACCATTTATCTTATTCAATCATAGATCCAGTAATTTTCCATCATTTGCAATGGAGCCCAAGATTCATTATTTTTTGGCTTGAGATTATGATCGAATAAAGCAAAAAGGCTCACTAAACTGTCTCCGCTTCTTTGTTATGAAGCCGCAGCCAGTCCATGCAATTTTGGACGGGATTTTCACTATGGGTCATCCGGAAACAGTCTCTCTGTGCTTTAGTGCAGGGGTAAGACTGCGTACATCCGACCCCCCCTACCCCACCGTAGGTGGGAGCCTTTGCGGCACTGGGGTAAATGAAAATGAATCATAGATCCAGTCATTCCTATTGACTCTACCTCCGTTTCACCTTCTCATTCTAGACCTTGAACGAGATTCCTACCATGCTCCTAAGATGATGTTTGAGACATTTACGTTTTATGTATTTACATGTACGTACTTCAATCTTTTTCTGTCAGTGGGTCCATCTTTCAAATTTCCCTTGGCCCAAAACTTTTTAAGTCACTCAACAACCTCCTGTTAACAAGTTCAGAATTTGTTGGATTACTTTGTTTTATCCGAACTGATGTCTTTATCGTATCTCCAATTTAGGAATTGGCTCATAGGCAGCAATTCTATTTTTGGAAGAACTATCGAAACAACAGGTTGAAGCACATCTTACCAAGGCCACTTCCTGAACCTCCAAGTGCACAAGCAACTTCTGTTCCACCTCTTCTGAATTTACCATCAACTGCGCCCCCCACAGCTACAGTAGGTCCCGTTCCTTCTCCAGCTACTGTTTCATCTCTCTCTACAGTGCAGTATGCTACCCACCCTGGATCGTCTTCTATTGCTAAAAATGATACAAGGAACCCTGCTCTTGAAAGAAGAAAGAGAAAGTATGTTCCCTGTGATTTTATATTCTCTTAATGTGCTGGAAGCTGATTGTGTATTAAATCATTCAACATTTTCCAATGTCTATATGTTTACAGGAAAGACGGGTGATCAGTGATGTCACTGACATGTATGAGATTATTGACGGAGATAATATATGTCAAGGTATATTCTCTTGCACAAGCTGGTTCTGTTAAAGTTAGGCTTTTTAAATGGTTCTCACCTTTGACCTTCTATGATTAAAGAAATATATATCCTACTTAGAGTAAGTTTCACTTTTCTACTCACAGTCTAAGTTTTGCAGTGGCCATTCCGTGAATGTGAATGCATAAAATGGCTTATCCCCTTCCCCAGCCATATTGCTAATATAATTTTTTATTTCTGCTTCTATGATTTTAACTTGATTACACTCAATCATTCAATCTTGACATTCAAGAAAAATCAGGACATTTAACCATTCTACGTCATTTCGGTAAAGAAAAGGTTCCCCTCCAAACTTTCCCAAAACTGCCAAAAGTCTTATTTTATTTGCAGGCATGGGCTTCACTTTATTTGATTTTTTAAATGTCTGATTGGATTGACAATGATTTCGTCAATATAGACTTCTAGAACAAGTGCTTCATTTTCTTTTTATTTGTAGGATAACATTTATTCTATTTAAGTTCAAATCTTTGACACAATGTACAACACCATCCTGATGGCTTTATATGATAATTTGCAGGTTGTTAAACTTTGTATGCTGCTTGCTGCCACTGAAAGACTAAACCTGTGGAATGAAGACCCTAACACAATTCAAACTTTAGAATTCTCTTCATGCTATGACTGTACCCAACTGTTCTCCAACTTAGTTTCAGATCATAGTTCTTAAAGAGTACTAGTGTACTTCCTTATCAACAAAATGTTACACCTGAATAAATTTCAGGGGTTTGTAACATTCAGGGAAAGATAGTTTGTTGCTCAGTATTTGTATCCCGGTTTTTATTTTTGACCGTTCCATTAAGTTCATCGCATACAATATTCGATTAATATTTGGGTGATCATATATACTTTTTATTCATCTTTGTATCGGATATGGTCTTTATTCTATTATCATATACAGTAATAGGGCTGTTAACAAGCCGAGCCGAGCCTGAACACCCCGAGCTCGAGCTCAGCTCGATTCAGTAATAGGGATATTCGGGTTCGAGCTCGAAGCTCGGTGAGCTTTACAAATGAGGCTCGTGTTCGGCTCGATAGGCGTTCGATGTTCAAGCCGAGCGCTCGATAAGCTCGATAAGTATGCTCGAATTTAAAATTTTAGGTGATGCTCGTTAATAGGCTTGTGCTTGAATTATTCGACAAGTATTCAGTTCATTAATAATCATACTAAATTCATAAAATCATACTAATTATATTTAAAATTTGACATATATTTAAATTATATTTATAATTTCAGGGCGTTTGATATGCTCGAGTTCGAACCGAACTGAATACTATTATGTTGAAGCTCGACTCGATTAATTTTTAGAACTTAAAACTCAGCTCGGGTTCAAGTTCAAAAGTTCGTTAAGCTCGGCTCGTTAGGTTCGAAACCGAGCTCAAGCTCGAATAGTTCAATAAAAGTTCAGTTCGTTAACAACCCTATACAGTAATACAGAGTAACTATAGTTGACACTTTTTGTGATGCTTTTATTATATTTTTTTATTTTTTATTTTTTAGTTTTTAGAAAATTTGATATTTGTTAATGGTTGGGGGGTAAATTGAATGATTTAATCGGGTGCAAGGATTTATTTGACTCCATTACAGGCTTACATCCATATATGTTACATGACTAGATTTAGGATGTGAATGATATTTAAGATGTTTTTAATTGAACTGATTTCGATCCAGATAGATTCAAACAAATCATATTAGACTATAATATATTTAAATAATAATAAATACACATTTATTGACCGTTCATGAGACCTGACAAGATAATTTTTAAAATTATACATATATAATATTGGTGTCATTTAAAGCTCCGCAAAAAAAATTTAATTTGATATAATTTTTATTAATTTTGTAGGAAAAATGAAAAAGTTATAACATTTTATAAAAAAACAATTATTTGACACATGACAACAACTTATTGGATGAAGAGTGAATGGAAATTTGATATGGGCAGGTTATCGGATGATCCTAGGAGAACAAAACATCAATTTTAATTAATTTTACGTTAATAATAAAAAAGTTTAAAATTGTGGAAATATACCACAAGCATGAGCAAAAAAGAAAATATAGAAAAGGAAAACCCTAGTCCGAGCAAGATCTGGCATGGCCAAGGCATACTTGCTGGTTTCCCCTCCACACCCATTGATTCCCTTCATCTGTCACCCTTTCCACAGAAATTAGCCACCAAAAGCCCATCAATTCGCCGCAACCTGACTATCAATCACCGCCGGATTCATATCGTCACTGCCGGAAAAATTCCACCCTAAGCGAAGCCGTTCCAGGGCCCTTGTCCCCGTGATTCCACGTGGAGTGTCGAACCCGTGTTTGGCGTGTCCGTGCTTTGCAGCCTCCAGATTTTGGAGAAGTGCTTATTTTTCATCTGATTGTTCCAATTCCAATGAATGGCTCACCATCTGAGATGGTTATGACCTGCCAGAGGACTGGGGATATCGGTATTCCTTCACAGCCCTGTGAAGTTGGTGCTACTTCACACGATGACAAAAGCTGCCCTGCATATGCTTTGCCTGCACTGGTTAATGGATGGATGTATGTTAATCAAGAAGGTCAGATGTGCGGACCATACATACAGGAACAGTTGTATGAAGGGCTGTCCACTGGTTTCTTGCCCGACGAGCTTCCTGTATATCCCATCTTTAGCGGGACACTTGCTAATCCAGTGCCCCTGAAGTACTTCAGTCAGTTCCCAGATCATGTTGTCACAGGCTTTGCATATTTAAACCCAGTAGCCTCTGGTTTGAGTGGTCATGGCTTTCAATCGAAGGCAGATTATTCTGAGATACCCATTCCAAACCAGCATCTTCTCACATCTGATTCTGTCACGGCTCCACACTTGTATCTGGTATTCTCCCTTAACCTTGAAATGATTGTTCTTTTCTTATGAATGCTTGCTTGCAGTATACATTGCCATTTCTAAACTTGTGTCTGTTGGAACTAATTAAATTATATTCCTCTGTTTTGCATACTATGGAATTGAATATTCTTCTTGTTACAAGTACGTAAATATACCACATAAGATATCTCACTCATACAGTTTCTGTTTGCCAAGTCTTTGAAACAGGGAGGTGGAGAATCTTGTTGGCTCTTTGATGATGATGAGGGGACAAAACATGGACCACACTCTCTTGTAGATCTGTACACATGGTTTCGCTATGGATATATTAGGGATTCAATAATGGTTAGTTGTGTGGCTGAGGAATTTTTATCATTAATTTCACCAAGCCATATTTCTTCTGTGGGATTACTACATATTCTTCACCCCTTTTTGTTTTCTTAATGTATTTCTTTTATCGATCTCCTCCCTTCTTAATGAAATGAAATCTGTTCTCACATTCACTTTTAACAAATTTGTAGAAAGTTGTTTCATTTTATCACCGGTTCCAGGTATTAGAATTCCCCAAATGCTGCCTGGGTCACTTCATTCTTCAAATTTTATACGATTTCCTTCGTTTATTTGCCCAAATGGGACTATTTTTACTGGGGAAAAGATATCTTAGAGTTATTTGCTGCATCTTAAAGGGATTTATTCTGTTTGAACATTGAAGAGGCAGTGGATTCAATCTTCACGTGAAGGAGAGCAGCACAAAACTACATATTTATGTCCTGATTGATCTTAGATTGTTCATTATGAAAACTTCAGACCTAAAAGGGATAAATTTTTGGTTCATAGAAGTTATGTTTATCAAGAAACTGTCTATCTTATAGCCTCAGTCTAGAAGTCCTCCAGTTACACAACCAGAAGAGAAAGAGATTACACAGGAAGAAAGATTTCATCTATTGACTAGTAAATTTGTAATACAAAAAATGTAAATGTTGTTTCTGAGGAAACATGTATTTATTGTGATAAACAGGTAGCTACTTGTACATACTTAGGGGTGCGTGGCTAATCGTTTGATAGTTTCTCTCTCAAAGTGTTACATCGAGTTAAGTTTTATGCTTTAAGGGTTTGGAAGAGCGTTTTGGTACAGCTCGTAGCCTCATATTGTTCCCAACATTAAAAGCAAGAAGTGACAAAGTGTTACTTTTTTCTGCGGTTTGTGCGTTTAAAAAAGGATAAAAATTGACATGCTTCAAAACCATTTATTTTGCTATCATATTGTACAAATTACATATTTTAAAATTCCTCACTCTATCAAAATATCAAATCATATATCCAATATATCATTATCATATACTTCATCCATTCTTTTTAGTTGCACCACTATAACTTTAACACTCTCTAACACACAAAATTAATATATTTACATGACTATTAATAAATATTATAAAATTATTATATCAGGAAATTTACACTGAGGCAATTTTTTGATATTATTTTGTTAATACATTAACCAATAAAATATAATCAAAGCAGAGTATGTGAACATTGCAGTAGTCAAAATGGTGCAACTAATAAAGAACTGAGGTAGTATATATTATGTCATGACAATGTGCATAAGTGACGGTGTATATTGGGCTGGGCCAGTAGATTTTTTTTGCTCGGGAAAATTTTTACTCGAATTTTTTACCCTAATAATCTAAAGAAATTAAACGTGGGCCAGGGCCTAGCATGCCCCCTACATACGCCCTTGGATGGCGATAGTGTTCGGTAGTGCTGTGATGGTTGGAGATGGTAGCAACGACAATAGGAGGTGACAATGGTCGATGTTTATGCTGGTAGTGACAATGGTTGCTAGTTGCTACCGGTGGCTGTGGCCTATGATATGGTTGATTCAATATACTGACTTTTCAAATTCTTTCAATCAACGTAATGGAAGTTTGGTTTATATAAAAATCATAGCTATACCTTTTTGAAAACCTTGAACATGCATTACCAAAATTTGATAAACTCCCAAAGTTATGGTAATTGGTACATATACAAGAAGTTGGCATGTCAAATTTAGTATATCAAAATTCATACATGATATTTGCATGTATGCCAAAACACAGAAAAATCAGCATTTTTAACATCCTAATCTCATTGCACGGATGATGTCAGTGATTACTAGTGATAGGCGCAGTTATTAACATTCAGACTCACTAATGATTGACACAGTTATTAACATTTGGTCAATCAATATTAGCTATAGGAATATAGTTAATGGTAGCAGCAGGTGTGACACTAGTAGAGAGTGTTGAAAATTTAGAATTGGTTCCAGTCATGAGGGTGGGTGAGAGATCCGTGATTGTTATATTGTGGCGATTATTTTTACTATCATAGTTAAATGAAAATAAATACGTGTATTTTTAACTTAAAGGAAAAAGTTTTTCAAAAATGATTTTTATCCATCTATAATGTGTGCTTATTTTTTCAATGAGTCTGTCCTATGTACAGCTTGTGCCTTCATTGGGTAATTTGTAGTTCATCTGAGCAAGAAATATGATCTGTTCCTTTTGTGCTGTCCCGAAAGTTCTCTTTTTTCATGAATTGTGTTTTATATAGATTCTTCCTTTGTAAATAAACATCAACCACACAATTTCATTGCCTTAAAAATAGCGCGAAAAGCAAAAAAAGGTCAATATGGGATGGAAGGAATATATTGCTAATCATATCATTTTGTTTCTGAAATAGATTTTGCTCCTGGAAGCTAGCTATTTTATGTTACATCGCAAGCACTATTACTTCATTTGATTGTATAATATGGAATGCTGCCGCTTTGACATGATCTTCCATCATGCATTTTGTAGGTGTATCATTCTGATAATAAATTTAAACCTTCTACATTGCAATCTTTATTAAGTACCTGGGTGGAAGCAGTACCTAGAGATGCCTCATTGTCAAGTGTCATTATGCAGAAGGATGACATGTCTTTTCAAGGTTTTGTGACTGAGGTGTCTGAAGAACTATGTTTGCAGCTACACTCAGGAATCATGAAAGCAGCTCGTAGAACTGTGCTAGAGAAGATCATTAGCCAAATAATTTCAGTGTGTGTTGCAACAAATGAAGCTGATAAGCATCTTAGGCAAGAAACTCTCAATAAAAATGTCAACTCATCTTCAGAGGATAACATAATGGTAATGAAATTCGTAGTTAGATCGAATGAGTGTTACATATAAAGAAGTGTTGCATGTCATTGTATTTGCTCATTTAACTTGCTTATATCTTTGTTCAAACATTATTGAACAGCATAAGGGTGGTAAGAGTATTGTCCCTGAGAGCAGACCAGAAGCTGCTGTAACTGATCGGCCGAGAACTTGTCTGGATGAGGTCGCTGTAGTGTCTTCACAATGCACAAAGTCTGTTGGAAGTTATCAGAATTTTTGTGCTGCACATGCATTGGTCTGCAGAATACTTTATGAGTCATGCATGCTAGTAATGTGGAATGCTGTCTGTTATGACCTCACAGCAGATTATGCATCTGCATGGAGAAAGAGAAAGCGCTGGTCTGATCCCCGGGATATGGTGAAATCAAGTACATTTTTGGAGTCTTCACTTGTCCGATACCCAGTTCCACACACTGAAGCTGTAAGTGCCTCATTATGTTGTATGTAGTAATATTTTATGAGCCCTTGTTTCTTACCTTATGCTTGATTTATTCATCTATTGTTTGCAGTTACCACGAGTTGAATCTTCTGGTCATGACATTGATTGCCCTCCAGGTTTTGAACAGGTGATAGAGATACATGTCATGACTTGATTTTATCTTCACTCATCTCTGTAGCTAATTCTCAATCTGTTGTTATCAACTACAGCAAGGAAACTCTGGTTGTGAAATCGATTACCCCCCTGGTTATGAACAGGCTATGGAGATACGGAATGTATGTTCAATTTCACGACCACAGTATTTGCCTACAGCTGATGAAGAAGTATCATGTAAAGGCAGCATCTTATTAGACAACAATTTTTTTGATGAAATAGGATCTATCCATGAGAGTGTATTGAATGATCTACATCTCTCTGTCAAAATCACATTGGAAAATCATTTCATGGACCTCTTGGATGAGGAAGTGGGTAAAATTGCTGATGACCGCTCAAAGGATTTCCAGTTGAATAAGGTGCTAAATATTCAAACTTAGCCAATTCTGAAATGTCAAACTTCCATGCCTCCTTACCCCAAATGAAAAAAATAAATAAAATTATACCTCTGTTCTTAACAAATTGGAAATCTCTTTTTTTCTTTTTAAATATACATTATACTTCAACAGTTGTGTGAGAGAAACATTTCTTTTTCTTGTTTTTTCTATTTTGTAGGTCATGGAGAATTGTAGATTCTACAATGATGGTGATCTTGAGATTTGCAATCCATTAACAGGACCATTGAATGATAACACAATTACTAGAAATGGGTTTTCCATCTCAGGTGTATTGTTGAGTTCATTTCAGAAGTTGCCTATCCACTTAGAAGATGAAGGTGTCGATGAGCTGCAACCACCCGACTCTAGAATGTCACTTCCTGTACAAACCTCAACACTTGTGTCCTTTAGGCATCACGATTCTGTTCCAAAGGTCATGTGGCATAGTGCCCTGGCAATTTGTCGGCAAAAGATACACGAGAATGTGCTGAGAGAAGTGAGGCTATTTATTGATGGTACAATTAAAAGACTTCTTAAGGCTCTGTTTTCTGGAACGAAATCTGAAGGCTCTCAGGTTACTGTAAAACTATGTTAGTGCTTCTAAACTACAGATCTACTCCCAGAAGAGTTTTATACTCACTTGGTTATTTGCAATTCCTTTTCAGATCTCAAAGATTAAGAAAGGCCAAAAGAAACCTGATAAACTTGCCTCAGTTAGAAATCAAGTGGAGATATCTCCTGACACATCTTTGACCACCAGTAGATATACACATTGCCACAAGAAAAGGTTTGATAAGAGAAAATCAGACACCTTATCTCAGTGTTTGACCAGCAAGGGTGTTGCGTCTAAAAAACAATGTGTTGCTAAATCAAAGAGCCAACATCCTTCCAGTGAGGCATTAGAGATTGCTAAGCTTGGAAAACCAGTTGCGAAGTCGAAAGAAACTCGATTGGCTAAATCTGACAGCAAATCGCTTCAAAACTACTCATCATCTCATGCCAAGACTAACGAGAATTCAGACGAGGTTATTACTATCACCAAAGGTATAGTATCTCCGGATTGTATGTCGTGGCTTAATGGCTTTTGGTTATTGTCACAACAGCAATCGTGAATATTTGATATGTATTACAGGGTGTGAAAATCATGCAAGCGGCACCAAACAGAAGGCCCCTACACTCTCTGAAAATGCTTTTAGTGCTGATAATACTCATAAGTTGAACAGGGTTTCCCAAAAACAAGAAGTGCAAATTATTTCAAAAGGGACACAGAAATGTCAGTTCTGTTTCTGTTATATCTTTTAGTTCTATGCAGTTGTTGTATTTACTCGAGGGTCAATTCTCATCCATCATTTACTTTGTGCAAACAATATATGAGCATTTTGATTTTTGTATGCAGCAACCAAGTTAGTGAAACTGCAAAGAAATCAACCAAAAGATGATGTGCCCTTGGAAAAAGTTCAGATTGTTCCTGTTGCTTCTTCCGATCAAGCAACAAATGAGGTTATTGTACAAAATAAAGGCAGTGGTAAATCCAGGAAAACAAAACGGTGCCCTCGATCAGATGGGTGTGCTCGCATTTCCATTAATGGTTGGGAATGGCATAAGTGGTCTCTGACTGCAACTCCCGCCGAAAGGATTCGTGTTAGAGGGAGTGGCTGTGCCCATGTTCATTCTGTCAATCATGATGGAAGTAGTTCTCAATCCTCAAATGTTAAAGGAATTTCTGCCAGAACAAATCGAGTTAAAATGCGTAACCTTCTTGCTGCTGCAGAGGGTGCTGATATTTTGAAAGCAACTCAATTGAAGGTACAGAGAGTGCTGGACATTGTTGTCCTTTGCTTCCTATGTTCAATTGTTTAACTCTTCCATATTCATTCATGTTTCAGGCAAGGAAAAAACGTCTGCGTTTTCAGCGTAGTAAGATACACGACTGGGGTCTTGTAGCTTTAGAGCCAATTGAGGCGGAGGAGTTAGTGATCGAATATGTTGGAGAACTTATTCGCCCCAGTGTACGCAACCTCTGTGCACATTTAACTGCACTCCAGATATTTATACTTCTTCCTTTCTGTAATAGTTGCAAACATTGACTTTTGAACTATTCCGTTCTTTATTTATTTATTATTTAAAAATATTACTCCCTCCGTTCCTAAATAAACTTCCAACTTTCCTTTTTCGTCCGTTCCAATTAAAACTTCCACTTTCCCTTTTTGGTAAAGAATTTGTGGTTCACAACATTTCTTACACATTTCTCTCTCCTCTGCACAACTCTCCACCACACAATATCCACTATCTTAAACTTTGTGCCAAACCCATTTGGAAGTTAAAATGGGAACGGAGGTAGTATAAAATTATTTTTAATTTATTGTCAAAGTAAAATTTCAAAACATATAATGGCCAATTAAATATATGAATGGTCAAAGTCGCGCGTTTGTAGATGTGAAATTCTAATTGTTGCAACTAAATAAGAACATAGGTAGCATATGATAGTGACATGTTAGTGCTTTTTATGTATCAAGTCTTTTTTATGGAGACTAACTCCTACCTTTTGTCTATTAGGTGTCTGATATAAGGGAACGCTATTATGAAAAGACAGGGATTGGTAGCAGTTACCTCTTCAGACTGGATGATGGTTATGTTGTAAGTGTGGAAAAGATTTTAATATGGTTTCTTAAAGATTTCTAACTAGCTAAGCAGTAAAAGAATGCGCGAGATGTTTCTGAGACTTGCGAGAGCCTCTGCTTCTTTAAAGTCTTGAGGTGTTCTCCTGTATTTGATATCATAACTCATAATCCCTTGCTTGGTGCTTCAGAGTAGAATGAAAACCGCATATAGCTTATCTCTATTCTGGGAATTTTCTCGTATCTTATACCTTCCTCTGTTGTTTTTGGATGTTAAATGCATTTGTTTCCATTAGCCAAGTCTCTTTTGGGTTTAGGAGAAATTAATTGCCAATAGTGACACTATTACAGGAGTACTTGTTATCGATGCTTTCCGGTTTGTGTGCTCTTGGAAGTTCTCTCTTATTATGTACCTTCAGCTGGTGTCTTTTTATGTTCAAGGAATTTGGTTCCAATAGCTATGACTTCAGAAAAATTAGTTTCCAAAAGTGAAACTACTGCAATACTTGCTTTGATGTTTGGCAGATTCTTTCAACTTTTGAACTACTTGAGCTGGTTCATATTTAGACAGTGAGAAAGATTATGAGCATTACATAATAACAGTTATAAATATTTCTGCAGGTGGATGCAACAAAGCGTGGGGGTGTTGCTAGATTCATCAATCATTCTTGTGAGGTGATTAATGTAGACTACAAATTTAGTTATTTTTGTGACATGAAATAAGGAAGTGTGCATGTTTTCCTCTAAAAAAGATGTTACTCATTTGCACTGGGTATGTTGCAGCCTAACTGCTACACAAAGGTCATAAGTGTTGAGGGTCAGAAAAAGATCTTTATTTATGCCAAGCGGCATATTGCTGCTGGTGATGAAATTACTTACAATTACAAATTCCCATTGGAAGAGAAAAAGATCCCTTGCAACTGTGGTTCTCAGAGGTAATGGAGTCAACTATCTGTTCTCTACATCACATCTAAGGGGCTGTTTACTTTTTTCCCTGTTAAGCCCTGTCTGGATTAAGACGTTTGTCTTTATTAAGACGTCTGTCTAGATTAAGTGACACTGTGATACAATGTTGTTTACCATGTGTGCTGAATGTGTAGTCTGAATGGTACTAAATCCCTAATTTTCCCTTCGATCTGTTATATGTGTTTAAAATATATTATGCATACTTTGGCAATTGATAAACATTTTCTATGAATCTATTAACAATTTCATGTTGGGCATTTATTATATATTGTATGCTCTATGTGCCCAATGTGTTTCATCTATTTCTTCTCCACTTCTTTTACCTTCCGCTTCCTCTTCATATTTGAATATTGTCTCATTTTCCCATGGCTCGAATAGCTCATGTTGAATGTAATAATTTCTTATAAAATTATGAACAACAAAACAATCAATCATCACATTTCTTTTATTTGAATCGAAAATAGATAAAGATCCATCTCTTTTAATATTGCAAACTTTACTTTTAGGAGACCGTAATTACTTTCAAACATTCGAAACTGGCACTTTGAAAAACACAATCAAAACTTCCTAATGAAATTGAGCCTTGTACTTTATTATGTTCTTCCTATCATCATATTCTAGCTCCTAGCATATGTGGCTCATCAGACAACTCTGCCCCTAGTTAATGTGATAGAAGATTTTCTCATTGTCCTGTATAATACGGATCCTTAACTTAAGTTGCATAATTCTTCATGCAACCACATTTATTCCTTGACTCCCAAGAGAAATCACACATTCTCGATTCATAACCGTATTCTTTACCTAAAGAATGAGATAAATATGTCACAATAACTCAAAAAAGCATGCTAAAAAGACTAGTTTGTATACTTTGCAAAGTAATCTGCTATATAAAAAAGAGCAGAAATAACCAATTAAAATGCAGAACAGATCTACTCTAGAATTGCAAAAAACTTCACAAGTATTGTTAAGTGATTAAAAACAAGGTACAACTGTGAGCTAAAAAAGCATGAAATTTACCCACTAAAATGGTCAGTTGTGTAGGATAGGTATACACACCTGAAGGATATAGAACATGTAACCAACTGCACCTTGTGAACTAACAAATTATGAATTTTAATTCTTTCTGTTTGTAATTCCCATAGACACAAATTACAATCTTTGAGCTCTCTGATTGTAATTCGTAGATGCTCTCCACCTGTAATTACTAATTACTCTCCATTTGTAAAACTAATCCTTAAACAAATTAACTTTTTCATTTGAGAAAATTTTAAGCCACTTGATTTAATTTCAATACAAAAATATGAAGTAGTTTTCCATCAATTGCAATGGAGCCAAAGATTCATTATTTTTTGGCTTGAGATTATGATGGAATAAAGCAAAATGGCTCACTAAACTGTCTGCGCTTCTTTGTTATGGAGCAGCAGTCAGCCCATGCAATCTTGGACGCGATTTTCACTATGGGTCATCCGGAAACAGTCTCGCTGTGCTTTAGTACAGGGGTAAGACTGCGTACATCCGACCCCCCCTTACCCCACCGTAGGTGGGAGCCTTTGCGGCACTGGGGTAAATGAAAATGATGACAAAAATATGAACTATAAGCTAGGTATCTGATGCGCATCGTGGTCTTCAATGCATAGCTAAAAACTCAATTTTAATTTCACAATTGAAAAGTAGAACAGCAACATACATATAGCGATTTTATGAGATGATCGAAAATAGATTATTTAGGAACAGAACAATCAGATTCAGAGTTAGGAACGAAGTGAATGAGAACATTCTGGCGAGACTGAATTCAAAATACAGAAAGCCCTTTGAGATTCTCCGAAGACTCAATCTTATCTAAAAGACATCAAATAAGGGACCTCCTCTTCTACCCTAACAGAAAAGCCTTACTTACCGGAAGCACCTATATATCATGGAGAACCATGGAAAGAGCTGCAATTTAAGAAAGATAAAAAAATATAAAACAGAAATAAATTAAGAGAAAATACCAAGATGGAGAAGGTAGGGGATGAGCTCTTTGCTGCTTTTGTGATAGCTCGACGGGTACTCCGATCGTTGAAGATTGTAGGGTTGTAGAGAGAATTCTGATGCGAGCGTGAAATAAATGAACGGAGAAGAGGGTTAAAAAGGAGAAGGTAGGGGATGAGCTCTTTGCTGCTTTCGTGATAGCTCGACGGGTACTCCGATCGTTGAAGATTGTAGGGTTGTAGAGAGAATTCTGATGCGAGCGTGAAATAAACGAACGGAGAAGAGGGTTAAAAAGGAGACACCTCCAGCACCTTCATGTCTGAATCGGAAGGAGTGTAAAAATTTAGCTGAACGAATAAGTCATCAAAGGTCTGCGCGAATAAGTCAGTTTTTTCAAAAAGTCACAAGTAAACATCACTATATAGCTGAATGATTAATACACAATATTCATCAAGTCCATTAAGTCACAAGTAAACAGGCCCTAAGTTTATTTCTCTCGGTGTGAGCTGGAGATTGGGATCTTAATTTTCAATTTATTTAGCACAAAGCAAGTGGTTCATTAATTTTTGTACTGTAAATGATATGCGTGTAGTTATTTGTTCACTGTCCTGTATGTATTTTCTTCGTTTCATTTCATTTTTGTTGCATACTTGCTGAATCTGCGGGGTATAATACCTTAAGCATGTGATATTTCTCCCTGCTGTGTGTGTAGCTTGGTTTTAAGCATCTATTTAAATCATTTTGTATGTGACTATGTATTCTGTTTGCCCACAAAGGATATACAATTTTTATAATGTATGTGCCTTTTTATTTAAACTCAATGATCCTAAATTTTCTAATTAATATTTCAGGTGCCGCGGCTCAATGAACTGAGAATTTTGGTGGATGCATTTTCCGCATCATCTTCATCACCATCACCTTAATACCAAACATGTTGGGGTCAGTGGTTTTATTATTAGCGTGAATTAAACATCTGAAACTAGTTCACTTTATAAACTCATGCAAAATGTTCAGTTAGTTCTAAATCAGAAGTTCCTCCTGTTGCAACCATCCCACTGAGAAATAATGTGATGAAATTCATAAACTGGTATAATCATAAAAAATCACCTGCGTAGAAAATAGTGTTTTTGCCTTTTTGGTGGATTCCTTTTTCTACTTATCAGCTAGTTTTTATACCAAACAATTATTTGTTTTACTATTCTGGCGTAGTTGGTTAGTACAATACCCTTAGTCTTCATCCCAAATTAATGTGGTTGGCTACATGAACATATCCTCAGTTCATTCACTGAAATCCTCAGTTTCTTCTATATTTTATTCGTGTACCATATTCTTGTTAATGTCCATCCATGTCATTTTGTACTACCATGACTTCTCTCTTGGTCTCCAAGACTCCAAGAAAATATACTACCTAATGGCTTTTCCCAGTCTCCAACACTCCGAAAGAATATATTCTAGCAAGGCACAAACCTAATATCCCTTTTTGCTTTTGGCTGAAGTTTTTGAAATGAATGAAAGTGACGATATTATTTTTCATGTTTAGATATTGTTTTCTCAACTTATCAAGATTTCTTATTAGTTCAGTGTGCGAAGCCAATTGAGCGTCCATCCACTACGATTTCAGTTAAATAACACCTTACATATTGGGGTAATAATGAGACAAGATGAGTTGAGATGGTTGTTATATCTTCTATTACCAGCTAGATGTAACATCAACTTGATCACATATAACGTTGACAAAATTTAGTGTCCTACGCAAAACTAAAACATGGAGAAAATAATTGCCATTGCTTAGTTTTGTTAATTAATTTTCTTTAGCATTTAACTGCTATTAAATCCTCAATATGAGTTGAAAAAACTGAAGGCAAGTTCACAATTTCTTACAAAGAATTAAAATTATGATGTTTTGTGTGAAATGTCTGGTGTCTACCTCAAAATCTACACAAACCTGACAATTGCAAAGTACATACCAAGTCTTGTATGCTAGGTTTTTATTCAATTTAGTCATTTCACATAATATTCCGTTCAATCAAAGACTAGGTATTATTGTTAATTTAACCATCAACTTTGATGATATTGATATGTCAATGACATCATAGTTGCCACATCAATTTACTTTATTTAGCGGTAGTATCATATTCTCCATGTAAAGATAATGCTGATGTGCCAACTGCTATGCACTTTCCATTTAATGTCAAAATTAGCGCTGTAAACTATTGTCCTTATTCCTTAATTGGTGAACAAGATTTGGTAGTACATGGATCAAATTAAACTAAATAAAGGTACAAAGATTAAGTTCTGCCTCTTTGCACCTTAAGCTTGTGTAATTTATTCTTATTACATTCAAATCAGACTAAAAATATTCAGATCAAACCACAAGGACTAAGATCAACTAGACCCGATAATATATTTCAGATATAAAAAATTAGAAAAGATCATATATATATATATTCAGACCGAACAGATTAGGAACATTTGACCGAACCTGAAAAATTCAGAACAGATGAGATATGTAAAAGTCAGATTATGTCACAGTTCAGGCAGGCAAAGAGAAGGAGAAGTCGAGAAAAAGGTCTAAATTCAAAACTAAGGTACAGACATGGCTAGGTGTTGCTAGACTGGGTGCTGAAAATGAGACTCATGACCTGAAGACTGCAGGTTCAAATCAAAAATAGACAAGGTCCAAAATACTCAGACCAGAATAGATTAGAAACATTTGAAATGACTAGGAAAATTCAAAACTGACTAAATCTACAAAAGTCAGATTATGTTGCATTTGAGACAAAGAGAATGAAAGTTCGTGAAAAGGGTCTAAATTGAACAAAAGCTTAATGTACACAGAATATTAGGTGCTATAACTGCCAAGCCATTGAAACTAAGAGACATTTCTAGACTGCTTTATCTTCAATGTAAAACACATACCAACGCTTATAATCGACAAACTGTTAGCGTGGTATATAGCTATGATATTAAATACTCCCTCTCTGCCATTATTATCTCCTTCTTTGACTAGCCGCATATGTTTAAAAGGGAAAACTATGTGGTTGAAAGTTGTCGAGAGAAGAGAGGGAGTAGGGAGTTTATTTCGGGAAGTAGGGAGTAGAACATTTAGGCTGTAACAGAACAAGCAAGTATGGAGTAGACCTCTCTTTAAGATTCTTAAAGGTCCGTCTTGATAATGTTTCAGCGGCATGTTTCAACTGGTTAATCTAATTTTTCATGTACTGCTCAATCTTTGATGTTTATGAATTCTGATGCAATTAATGTGATTTTCAGGTTACCTGTGATTCTGTAATAGTGCCAATTAATATGATGTGATCTAACCATTTCCAAATGTAAAGGATGATGATGAATACCTGTTCCTATTCAAATGCTTGTAGATATCTCAGTGGCAGATGAGTAGCCCCTCTTAAGAACTGAAACTCGGGTGTCCATATTTATTTTTATTTTATGCCTTTTGTTATTAAACCTCCATTCTTTTGTTATTATAATTATAGCATACAATTATCTCATTGATCAAATTCTTATTTGCAGTACGCATGCTGTATAGATAATAATGCGTTCTTATCTAATTCAACTCCAGAACCCCAGTGAATGCTCTCAATTTGTTTGCTTATAGATAGATCGCTCCCTCCGTCCTTACCTAAAGTTCCTGTTTCTTATTTTGTGGTCTTGAATGGGCATCGTTGCCCATTTTTATTTACAATTGTATATTTATAAAGCCTATAATGAATCGTTATATGCACTAAAACAGTTTGTTCACTTGACAGTCGATGTACATAAATTATGACATAAAAGTCATTGCATAAACTTCAAATAAGGGCGGAGGAAGTTGTGAATCATTGTATGATTATTAGCCATAGTAACATTTTATATATATCTTGACAAAAGTGTTCAAACCGACTAGGCATCTAAATTTTCCCTTTTAAGTTGACACGTTCAAAGTCCAAGCAAAGCCACCTCTTCAAGGTATCAAACTATCAATAACAGTTGGTCTAACAGTTGAATATATTTCAATTCACGGAAAATGATGATCAGAATGGATTTGATACCTAGTCTGAGTGAAGGACGCCCCTTTTTGTAAAAATGAGTCTCTTGAAACACACAATCTGGACAAAAATCGATATTTATGTGAGAATTGCAGAAGTGTATTTAACAAATTGGTTTAAATTCAGATGCTATATTACTGAGGCAGAAGATATAATGGTATCATACCAATTCCAACTATTACTGTCGCAGGAAGCATTGAAGTAGTGTGCGAACTGCTAGGTGGATGTTTTTGAAGCTTTTCTGGTATGTCCTTTTTCTAATGTCTTAATAGTAACCATTAGGGGTTTATTTTTTTCCATAATATCTTGTCTGAATTAAAATGTCTACTTGGTCAGGGTCTTGGTATTAGAAGCTATTTACTTTTTGTGCTGAGTAAATTGTCTAAATTGGGCAGATGACCAATTTAAGGTTGGGTCTTTGTCTAAGAAGTTGTTAACGTTGTATGCTAAGTAAACAATTTAAACTGGGCAAATAACCAATTGAAGGTTTTTAGCTACCTGTCGTCTTTTATTAACACATTTATTCCAAAAATGTATTTCCTTAAAAATGGGTGAGTAGACTTATTATAAATCATGAGATCTATCAGGATTGAACCATTGAGGTTGGATTTTGGTTGAATGAATAATTTGTTTTCTCAATAATGTCGTAAACATATGGGATTGATGGACGAACAATTAAATAACTTCTCATGTACATGCTATAAAGGGTGAAAACAATTGGTATGTTAATCGTTTGAGAATTGAGACAATGAATGATGTTTAGGAACGGAAATATGAAATGCACATTCCATTCATGAAACAGCAATTGTTGTCTTAAGATTCATGAAGGGTGTTGTCATTTGCATGAATGGGCGTCAAAATGGTACTACCTCTATCCTGGCCTAAAATTTTCATGGTAAAATGGCACGATTACTTTAGACAATAATTAAATAAAGTAATACGAGTATATTTTGAAAAATATTTTTTGGGTATATAATATAATGAGGTCATTGATCATAATTGTAATGTTATAGATGTATTATTTCTAATAATTGATGATTAAATTATCATTTAAGAGAGCTAATTAAGTTAGGCGAAATTGACGCCAATAATCTCTACTTTTACGTATTTTACAATAATAATCTCTACTAGAAAAGTTCACAATAATAATCTCAACTACTTAACTCATTTTCATTTCATTTTCATTTACCCCAGTGCCGCAAAGGCTCCCACCTGCGGTGGGGTAAAGAGGGTCGGATGTACGCAGTCTTACCCCTGTACTAAAGCACAGAGAGAATATTTCCAGATGACTCATAGTGAAAATCCCGTCCAAAATTGCATGGACTGACTGCTGCTTCATAGCAAAGAAGCACAGACAGTTTAGTGAGTCATTTTGCTTAATCCCAACTACTTAACTATTTCACAAAAATAAACTGGAAGCTAACAATGTTAACTTTTGTATGAAGGTTTTTTTTAATTTTAAATATAATTAAGTAAAAATATTTATAAGCATTTACAATATTTTTTTATAAAAATATATGTTTAAAATTTATATATGTTTTTTGTAGCGTCAATTTCGTGAAAAAACTACATGAAAAAATTGACATTGTTAACTCCGGTTTACTTTTGTGAAACAGTTAGTTAGTTGGGATTATTGTTGTGAACTTTTTCAGTAGGGATTATCGTTGTGAAATATGTAAAAGTAGGGATTATCTCTGTCAATTTCGCCATTAAGTTATCAATATTCTTAAGACAAATGAGAACCTTTAGTTGGGATGTTCAAAAATGCAAAATTGGAACCTTAAGATGGGATGGAGGGAGTACAAGATTTTGTTTCTATTTCTATGCTCGAAGCTTATAGTGAAGTGCGGATCAAGTGTTGCCCTTTTAAATCAGGCATGGTGGAATTCTTTTAGTTACAATCGTGCACAATTATTTATTATAATATACATTTTTCCCTTGTCCCTTGTGAGTAAGTAATGGTTGATGTCTTAATATTAATAATTATAATTATAAATTTATAATCGCGCGAAAGTGATGCTTTTAGTAAAGTGTGATTTATAATCACAGCGTTTCTTGCAAAATGGCCGAGATCAGAAAACTTCTTTAGTTGTTGTTGAATGTTGAGTACTTAGATTAGATTTCGATGATGCGCATATATTAGACTAGAGAGATTCTTGTAAGGAATATTTTTAAAGGGTCGAAAAAGATATAAAAGTTTATTCACCTATATGGGACCATCATTTGCCCATATAAGTGTATTGAACGTTTGCCCATATAAGTGTATTGAACGGAAAGAATTTATTTATCATTTTCTAATCCTCTATCTTGTCTTGCTTCACTTATACTACCTCCGTCCCAGAAAATTCTTTCACTTTGACTTGGCACGGAGATTAAGAAAGTGGAATAAAGTGGAAATGTGTGATTGTAGTTGTAAGAAAAAGATGAAATGAATGTGAACAACACAAATTGTCCAAAAATGGTAAGTGAGAAGAATTTTTTGACACGGAGAGAGTATGATATGCTTTAACAATAGTGATGAAGTCTTTACCCGCTATATATATTCAAGTCACTTGTTTAGTTGTATTTTTATATGTATAGTTCCATCAGATCTAATGCACCAAATCCCCTTCTGATATATGAATTCATCGGATTAGACCATTGTGATTAAAAAAAGAGTTAAACTCCTTTGTGTTATAATTATTCATGCGCAAAACCCCCTCAAAGAATAAACTTGACAATTTGGAAATCAATTGTCTTAATTTTACGATTTAGTATGCAAGTAAATTTGTTAAGATCTCTAATTAATATTAATATTTTTCATTTAGTTGGCACTTAAATTTGTATAGAGGTGGTTTTGTGCATGAATAATTATAACACATGAGTGTTAACACTTTTTTTTAAAATCATAGAGAGTTGATGCGTCAAATTTATTTAACACGACGTGTTTGGTGTATTAAACCCAGTTTACAAGGTAAACTCGCGTAACGTGAGGTAATAGTTAACTTCTCTAATAGTATGAAGTTCATGTAACTAGAAGTTATATCGGGTCCCTTGGCTATTTGCACTTGTGATTAACAAAGTATCTCACTGATTTAACTTCTAACATCGAACCAACCTTAGCTCAAATGGGAGAGTAGAGGATTCAACCAAGACTTGTATGCAAAATTGCAAATCCAAGAATTGTAGAATCCTTTGGTTGTCGGTTCAAATCCGGCAGGTTGGTGCTACCTTCGGTTAGGGAAGAATTTCTTGAATGATAATGAAAAGCAAAGGCAATACCATTAGCCATTTTTTAGTACTTCGTTTTAGTGAATTATTATTCTTACTTTTGTGTAGTTCATGGTTTTTCTTTGCTATATCTTTCTAAGTTCTCATTTTCAGTGGTTGTTTCTCCGATCATAGCACCTTGTCCTTCGTATGACATTGCATTACCTAATTAACCAACTTTGAAAAGTATGTCTCCTTCAAGTGTAGTGAGCGTAGAATACTTTGCGGTTGAATCCGAATTCAAGGAGTAAAGCTTAGTAGGAGTTAGTTTCTTGTTGGAATCTGGTGGTGTTTGACCAATAAGTGGTGATTCTTCCGAAAACTCTGTTAGGGGCTTAAAACTGAAGGACACACGATCAATTACTTAAGAGCGATTTATTGTGTGCGAGGTGTATATATGGATTCATGGGGAGTCCAAGATTAGCAATTTAGCAGTGAAACTAGGAGGATCTTTGGTGCTAACAGAAAAAGTAAGCCTTCTTAGGCTACTAAGTTATATGCGATCTAAGGCATGCAACTCGTATTTATGTTATATACCAAATTGTTGTAATACAGAATCGTTTGTTTTTAATGTGTATTTATGAATTGAATTGATGAATGTAATATAAATTATAAAGTATTGTATCGTTGATTGTTTATAATGTGTGCATTTATGAATTGAACATATGAATGTAATATATGAAGTATATTGTTGTCTAGTTATGTACACACATGACCTGTAGCTGCTTTATACGTAGTATATGGTTAAGGATGCTTACTTTTTTTGTCTGTAAATGTTATGAACTGCTAATCTTTTATACATTATGAGAGAATGAATATACTTGAAACACTATATGTGGATTGTGGAGCAGTCCAAATAACACATCTCTTGGTGCATAGTTTTCGAGAAATTTCACTTTCCACCTCTATATTTTGTGATAAGAGTATAAGACTCTGGACTCTTTTTTCAGAAAAAAAATTAAAGTGTATATCCTAATACTTCAAAATTTGTAATGAAATAGGATGTAAATATAAGTTTTTTAATAACAAAGCATGGTGCTCACGTTAATTTTTTTAAAATGAGTCGAATCATATCTGAATTGTGGAGTGCAAAATCAAATTCTCCATTTAAATTCTTATTTATTTTTTTACTTAAGTCTTTACTACCTTCGTCTCACTAACATTGGGATTAGTGAAGGTGGAACAGACATTATACAAAATGAATATTATACATTGGTATCAGTGAAGGTGGATCAGTCTTAAGAAAAAATGAATTTATATGTTTAATATTGAATAGATAAAATAAGAATAAAGTAAAAATGATTTA